TTAACTCTCAATAAACAAGGTTGCAGTTCTCACCAGCAACAGTTGTCTGTTCCAAATTCAGTTTAATAGGAGGAAAAATCTTTTTACTGCTATGAGTTAAATTTTACACTTTGTTAATAAAAGTAAACGTAAAGTAAAAAAATACATCTCGGTATAAATTTTTAATTATTATTTTCTCATTTTTTTCTCACTAGTGTAACTGACTTATGTACAAATTTAGTTCTTATGTGTAAATCTCCCAGTACAGTCGTATGCAAAAATTTGTGTGCCCCTGGTCAAAAGACATGTTGGTGATTTTCTAGCACGGCAACCACCTAGCAACATCCTAGCAACCACCTGGGATACCATAACAACCACCCAGCAACACCCTAGCAACCACCTGGGATACCATAGCAACCACCTAGCAACACCCTAGCATCCACCTGGGATACCATGGCAACCACCCAGGATACCACAGCAACCACTGGAGATACCATAGAAACCAACTAGCAACACCCTAGCAACCACCTGGGATACCATAGCAACCACCTAGCAACACCCTAGCATCCACCTGGGGGATACCATGGCAATCATCTCGCAACTACTGGGAATTCCACAGCAACCAACTAGCAACACCCTAGCATCCACCTGGGATACCATAGCAACCACCCAGGACACCATAGCAACCACTGGAGATACCATAGAAACCACCTAGCAACACCCTAGTAACCACCGAGGATACCATGGCAACCACATAGCAACACCCTAGCAACCGCCTGGGGGATACCATGGCAATCACCTAGCAATACCTTAGCAACTACCTGGGATACTACAGCAACCAGTGGAGATACCATAGCAACCACCTAGCAACACCTTAGCAACCACCGGGGATATCACAGCAACCAACTAGCAACACCCTAGTAACCACCAGGGATACCATGGCAACCACCTAGCAACACCTTAGCAACCACCCAGGGCACCATGGCAACCACCCAGCTTCAGAGTGGAGAATAACAGGCTAATGAGGCAAATCCCAAACAAACAGCCGCACACAGGCAGAGTAACGTTTCTATTTATATATGAGGAAGTTAATTAAGACTCTCAGAATCATTATCTCAGTTTATTTTGGGCTTTTTTCTGAGGCAGAGCAGCATTTCTGTGTCTGCAGTAAGTGGCGTCATCTGCCCAGAGCAAAGAAACACAAAATAACCACAAAAAATATAAAAAGCAGGTGTTTTATTTTCCAGTGAAGTATGACGTTTACAACTTGACATTAAAGGGAAGCTCCACTGATTTTTCAAAAGTTCTGCATGATTAAATGGTTAAAGACCCAGGACCCTTCTAGGAGTGTTTAACAGAGAGCTGCCAATCAAGCTGCTCATTAGCCACGCCCACACAGTTCTCAGGTAGGTCTGATTAGTATTTTTATGTCAAGTTTTTTCATATTTTTATCTTACACTTTTTCATTCAAGCTTGAGAACACTCAGGTTTAGCATCATACAAACATTTGTAATATTTTACTTTGTGTTCCCTGCAATTTTAAGACATAAACAGAGTCGTCCAGGGTGGTTTGGTGTGAAACGCTCGGTTCTAGAGAAACTTACAGAGTCAGAATTGTTCACAGTGGTGGTGATAGGAACCAGACGTCCACCTCTAAAAGCTCCCTCACAGAAAGTTACTACATGAAATGGTTATGAATTCACTGCCTGATGACTGAGACACTGATTATGATAGTTTTGGCCTTAAACTCCATTCATGGTGGAGGGATACACGCAGGGCGCTGTGAGGCAAAATAGTCCCCAAAGAAAACTTATTATTTCAGGTTTTCCACAATTTTCCATCATTAACATTCCATATAAACTCAGAAGACTCGTGTAGATTCACTGGTGGTTCTGGATAGTAAATAAAATGTCTATATTTGTGCTGTAGTCATGGTGACGTCTGATTCCTATCACTAAGCAAAAAACTTGAAAAAACTGTGGAGTTCCCCTTCACTGATCACTCCAGTCAGACTCCAGGTTGTAAACTGACACACAGAGATGAGTCTATTTGAGTACAATATTCCAGTCTGTATCGTTTATTTACATCTCTCTCTCTCTCTCTCTCTCTCTCTCGTCTGTGGAAGGTTCTGAAGGCACGGCCGAGCGTGTGAAGCGGTCAGTGGGCAGCGCTGCAGTCCGTAGGCTTGTGTTTGAGATAGTTTAAGAGTCTCGGAGGCACGTCCAGACAGTCTATAGCCTGAATCCTGTTCACCTGCTTCAGGTGCCGACGGATCACCAGCCTGCACTGAGACACCAACGACCTGGGACAGCCTGGGGGGGGGGGGGGGGGGGGAGAAAGGGGGGGTAGAGAGAGAGAGAGAGAGAGAGAGAGAGAAGAGAAGAGAAGAGAAAGAAAGGACAGAGAGAGAAAGGGAGGAGAGAGAAAGAGAGATAGAAGATGGGGAGAGAGAGAGAGAGAGAGAGAAGAGGGGGAGAGGGAGAGAGAGGGGGGAGAGAGAGGAGGGGGGGAGAGAGAGAAAGAGAGAGAAGAGGGGGAGAGAGAGGGAGAGAGGGGGAGAGAGAGGGGAGAGAGGAGAGAGAGAAGAGAAAGAAGAGAGAAGGAGTGAAAGAAGAGAGAGAAACAGATAGAAGAAGAGAAGGAGGTGAAGGAGAGAGAGAGAGCGAAAGAGAAGATAATTAAGGTGGAAGCATTTAAAATGTATTATTACTGTTTAATAACATAATATTGGGAAAAACAAAGCCTTTGATCTTTTATTTCTTCTTCCTCTCTACTTCTTCTGTTCTGTCTTCTTTTTTGTCTAATTTATCTCTCTCTCTTTCCTTTTACTTTTTCCATAAATTCTTTCTCCTGCCTCCCTTCTTCTCTCTTTTCCCTCCCTCTCTCTCTCCCTCTCTCGTTACCTCTCTCTCTCAGCAGCAGTTCCAGGGCCTCGTTCTGTTTGGTGCTCTTCTCTATGATCAGTGTAGGTAAGTAGACGTTGGCTCCAAACTCGATCAGCAGTCTGATGAACTCCACGCTGCAGCCGTGTCTGAGGCACATCTCCAGCACCGTCTTCCTGGCTGGCACCGCCCGGCCGGACGCTTTGTCCTCGGGCCAGTTGTAGTTGGGGTCGGCCCCGTACAGCAGTAGGATTCTGAAACAGTCCAGGTGACCGTAGACGGCCGCCAGGTAGAGCGGCCCGCTGCACACGGCCACGCCGGACGTCCACAGCGTGACCTTCGACCTGGCGTTGACCTCGGCGCCGTGGCGCAGGAGCTGGCGGAGGATTTCGGCGTCCCCCTCGCGGGCGGCCGTCAGCACGGGGGAGCTGCTGTTCCGGAGGTTTCCGCTGGGGTCGGCGCCGGCGCGGAGCAGAGCCAGAACACAGCCAAGGTAACGGCCACAAACGGCGGAGAACAGCGGCGTCTGAGCCTTCACGTCTACGCTGTCCACCTCCGCACCGTGGGCCAGCAGCAGCTGCAGACAGCGCAGGTGACCTAAACACATACAGTTTACTTTATCGGGTTCCATTAGAGGTGTGAAGCTCAATTTACTCATGAATGTGCAAACCTCACTTCCAAAAAATATGCGAAATGCACACAAAACAAAGCAAATTGTTAATCTACTGATATTTAAACAAAAAATTTGACAAATACGAAATATTTAATGTTTGATCTGATTAACTTTATTTTCTGTAAATATTCTGAAGCTGATGCCTGAAAAATGTGCCTTAAAATACTTTTATTAAAAAAACACTGTCCGTTGCTGCATCCAAACAGTTGCACAGCGGAAGTCATTTATTAACAGCGTCTAGAAACGCCGCCAACTTCTTTGGGCTCGAGCTCATCAGAAATGGACTGATGCTCAGTGGAGACAAGTACCTGTGGTCTGACGAGTCGCCTTTCAGACTGTTTATGGAAATAATGGGTGCCGTGTTCTCCAGGCCAGAGAAGAGAAAGAACATCCAGATTGTTACCAACATGAAGCTCAAAATGCAGCAGTGGGACCCGTACATCTGTGAAAGCATCACTAACACTGAGCACATTTAGGAGCAACATATGCAGCAGGAGGGACGTCCAGGGACACAGGGCTCATTCAGACGAGCTGATCTCTAGGAGGTGCAAAGGATGACAGAGGAGGTGGGGGTCCAGCGTAGAGGCCATGGACCTTTTTTGGGGCAGTTATGGGCTGGAGGTTAGGGAACCAGCCCTGTGACCGGAAAGTCGCCGGTTCGATTCCTCTGAGCCGACAGGACATGACTAAAGTGCACCTAACACCCAACTACTCCCCGGGCGCTGCGGGTAAGGCTGCCCACCGCTCCGGGCAGGTGTGCTCACTTCCCCCTAGTGTGTACATGTTCACTAGCGTGATTGTGGGTGTTTCACTGCACAGATGGGTTGCTGAGTCCCTGTTGTGGGATTAATAAAGAGTAACACATCAAGAGTAACTTGATGATGACCTCAGGCTCACACGGCTTCTCCAGAGCGCCCCATTCTATTGGTCAGTGCTTTTCTATGTAGATTTAACATGCAGTGCCCAGTCTGTGTGAGAAAGATCATCCAATATGTTTGGGATGAACTGGAGTGGCATTTGTGTTCCAGAACCATCCAGCATCAGTGAATCTTGTCCTATATCCTATGCTTTTCTGAACATATTGTGGATATCGTCAGTACCTGTAGACACTGACCAACTGCTTGTTTCATTATATAGAGAGCAAACTTAGTCTTGTTTACCTGGATTTACTGCTAACTACTGAATTAAAATCTCTGTGTTAATAGTTTTTGATCATTTTTTAAAATGTAGCACTACTGGCTCTTTTTTCTCAGTTCCAGCTGATCAAACGTCTGAAAAAATAAATATTGTTATGTATTGGTATCATGGAAATTTTTTGAAGTATCACAATATTATATTTTTCAAAGTTTCAAAGTTTATTTCTACAGCATTTAAGGAGTTTAACCTATAATGTCCATGTTTTATTTGTGCATTTTTAACATATGAAGAAAAATGTAAAAACAACTGAAATAAACCGGACAGTTATCACACTGTTTTAACGCACGCAAGAGCTGATTTTGACATGGCTGAAATCTGGCAACCCTACTCCTAAAATCCCCAACCTATCATGGAGTGAACACGCTCAGTTAGTTATGATTCCACATTCCTCCTGACTTTAAGCCTAGACTTGGACTAAACTGTAAACCCTAAAAGGGGCAACACAGGGTTCTGTGAGCCCCGATAAACAAGAACCACTTCTTTCTATGTAGATTTAACATGCAGCGCCCAGTCTGTGTGAGAAAGATCTGCACCTTTAGAGGCGGCCATGCGTAAAGGTGTGCTGGGAACGCCCCAGCCGCTGCGCTGGTTGATGCACTTCCTGTAGCGCTCCTGTGACAGCAGCTCCTCCAGCAGGAAGTGGTCATCGTTAGCCGCGGCGCGGTTCAGCTCCAAGCTCTCAGCAGCGTACTCGTCCTCCTCCGCGGGACGCAGCTGCAGCATCGACCACACCTGGAGAAACAAAGGAGATGAAAACAGCTGTAACGAGTTCAGATCTCTTTACAGTGGTGGTGATAGGAACCAGACGTCGCCATGACTACAACACAAATATAGACATTTTATTTACTATCCAGAACCACCAGTGAACCTACACGAGTCTTCTGAGTTTATATGGAATATTGATGATGGAAAATAGTGGAAAATCTGAAATAATAAGTTTTCTTTGGGGACTATTTTGCCTCACAGCGCCCTGCATACTATGTATCCCTCCACCATGAATGGAGTTTAAGGTCAAAATCTTCTCAAAACTCCCATAAAACAGTGTCTCAGTCATCAGGCAGTGAATTCATAACCATTTCAAGTAGTGACTTTCTGTGAGGGAGCTTTTAGAGGTGGACGTCTGGTTCCTATCACCACCACTGTGAACGATTCTGACTCGGTAAGTTTCTCTAGAACAGAGAGTTTCATGCTTAAATTGGTAAAAAAAAAATGTTTATACTATGTGAAGCTTTAAGATGTTCCTCTTTAGAGGTGGGCAATATGGCAAAAATACAATACCGCGATACTTCAAGTATTTTTCATGATACACGATACGTCATGATATTTATGTTCTCATATGTTGGACCAGAGAAAAAAGAACCGGTAGGGCTACATTTTTAGAAATACAATTAAAAACTGTAAACACAATGATTTTTTAATTCAATATTCGTCACTAAATCCATCATCATGTATAAAATGAGATTTTATTTATTTATTCATCTGATCAGTTGGAACAGAGAAAAAAGAGCCAGTAGTGCTACATTTTAAAAAATACTATCAAAAACTATTAACACAATGTTTTTATTCCATATTTGGCACTAAAACCAGTTAAACCTGACTAATTTGGCTCTCTTTATAATGAACCATGCAGTTGGTCAGTGTCTACAAATACTGACGATATAGACAATATGTTCAGAAAAGCATATTGTACTGTAGTGTGACATAATTTATCATGATAACGATATATATCGTCATATTATCCAGCCCTATCCTAAGCTGAACCATAACGGAGCCTAACTGAGCCTAAACACAGGCTGGTTTTCAAGCCGAACACTAAATGGCATGTTCAGAATAGTAACTGCACCGCTGAAGGTGCTATTTAGTGCAGTGATTTGGGACGCAGCCGCAGGACGCAACCAGCCCTGCACCAGCCTGTGAGCGAGCAAACGAGAGAGAGAGAGAGAGAGAGAGAGAGACAGGTATAATGACAAGACTAGAACGGCTCTTTATCTGCTTCAATAGATGAAATGCATTTAGAGATCAACCAGGCATTAAAATGCACCAGACATCAGAGCTCAGAGCCGGACACCTGGCAACCCTACTTTGCGGGGGGGTAAAACGTGATATTACTGACTAAAGGGGACCTTTTAGATTCATATTCAATGTTCATAATTTTATTGTTGCTCTACTAGAGCAGATTTACAGCTTCAATGTTCCAAAAACACATTATTTTCCTCATACTGTTCGTCTCTATCCACCCTCTGTCTGAAATGCTCTGTTAGAGCTCCTGTGTCTTTAAGCCCCGCCTCCCGACGAGCCCAGTGTGCTCTGATTGGTCAGCTCACCCACTCTGTTTTGACTGGTCAGTCGCCAGAGCAGTTCCGCCCCTGTCCTGCAGTCTGCAGTCTCCTGAGCAGCTGTAAACTCCGCTGTGGCTGTTCTTTAATCAAAAAAAAAAAAGGTTCTATATAGAACTATGAACACTCAAAGAACCCTTTGCAATGTTTTAATGGTTCTTTACATCACATAAGTGTTCTACAGATTGATGTAGAATGTGTTGTACGTGGAACTATACACAACCTTTTTGAAAAGGGTTCTATATATCACAATCTACAGCACATTTTCCATCAATGTGACGATGCAAAGAACCCTCAATCACGCAAAGGGTTCTCTGAGTGTTCACGGTTCTATACAGAACCATTTTCTGTACTAAAGAACCCTTAAAGCACCATCTTTTTTAAGAGTGTATATAAACTCCTCCAGTTCGAATCCAAATCTCACACACTTAACACGCGCTTAAAAATGTCCCTTCAAGGGTTCTTTAGTAAAGTGAATGGTTCTATTTAGAAACATGAGTTCTATATAGAACCATTTCATGCTTAAAAGGTGAGGGAGAATGTGTTATATATGTTTCTATGTAGAACCTTTTTGAAAATAGTTCAAAAAAAGCTTGACATTGCCACAACAGAAGAACACTTTTTGGTGATAGAACCACATACAATCTGAAGAACATTTAACCATACAGAGAACCACTGCTATACAGAACCAAATCTTGCTTACATGGTAAAATGGTACTTCAAATTGATGGAGAATGTGTGCATATGGTTCTATATAAAGCCTTTTTGAAAATGGTTCTATATAGCACCAAAAAGATTCTTATATTTTTACAAACTTGACATCATAATAATAACAGAACCTTTTTTGGCGCTATATAGTCATCTAGAACCGTTTCGCCATGCAAAGAACCATTTAGGCATCCAAATTGTTAAATTAAGAACTCATGGTTCTCAACAGACCTACTGCCTTTACTAAAGAACCACCTTTTTTAAGTGTAGGTTGAAACCAAATGAGGATCTCCACTGATTTGGTGACCACTAGTATTGAAAAAGGGGTTCAAATTCTGAAAATAATCATTTTGTTCGCTATTAAAAGCCTCTAAAAGTTCCTCTAAGCTTAATACAAAACCCACCCATCTATCCTGTTAGCCAGGCAGCTAATTAGACGAAGCTAAAGTTAGCTTGTAATTCGAACTTCCCGTTCCACCTTAAATGCTGCAGCAGTTCCATTCTAGCGCTTCAGGCGGCGGAATGTTTTTGCTGCAGCATTTAAGGTGGAACGGAGAATTCGAATACAAAGCTAGGGAACAGGAAACAAGAGGCTCTGGAGTGAAAATTGTTCACATTTTAGACTCACATTTAATAAAATTAACCCTCCTAAAACCCAAAATAGTATTAATCTGTAGTTTAAAGATAAAAACGTTACAGAAATTACTGCTAAAGTTGCTCATCTGATGTAAACAAAACGGACAAGCGCGCCTAATTAGCCATTACAGACATTTATCTGCTCGTAATTCATTTCCAAAAGTGCTCAACACCAAATTTAAAGAATTAAGACACGAAATTTATGCCGAAAATGCCAAATAAACGGGGTTTTATGTGATATTTTTGTTATTTATATCTCGTTAGCTTCTCTCAAGGACACTCACCGGCTAGTAGCAGCTGGAACCTTTCCGATTGGCCAGAATTCGTCACGTGGTAAGACTTTTATTTTGCTAAATGAAAACATACACCTCAGGCGCTTCAAAAATTGGTGGATTTACTGGATGAAAAATAAAAAAATAAATAAATACATGGACGCACGTATATAAATACAAATTTTAAAAAATATTTATTGACTAAAATCAAGTGGAAAAAATGGTGCAAAAAATAAAAAAATGAAACAAAATGACAACTTTCACCGACGTGCATGATTAAAATATTTGTAAAAAAAATCATAAGAAAATGAATTACAGCAAAAACAGTAAAAAAATGTTTGGTTTATTTAATGCAAAATATAAAAAGGATGCATGTTTAAAAAAAAAAGGCAGTGCAAAAAAAAGCATTCATAGAAGTGCACAGTAAAATTATGAAAATATATTTTTTTGCAAAAATGAAAATTATAGAATGCAAAATACATTTTGAAACATTTCACATTTTCTCTCCTGACTATTGCTTTGAAATTTAAAATCAAGCATACAAATAAGGGCAGACGTTAATTAACTGGCTTTCAAACATAATTTGTTTTCCATTAGTTTACATGGTTAGAGTCTCTTTACAAACATTACAAGAAAGCAAAATTACAAGGCATGTGCCTCTGACAAACAAACCCACAGGAAGTTTCACGTCACGATATTCACAGGGCCAGAATCCTTTGTAAAATAAAATACACTGTTCCAATAAATCACTAAGTGGGTTCCCAAGATTAAAATATAAAAACACACACATGGACCACCTGCTGATGTTATACACAATACATCTGCATTTCACACTATAGAAAAACATCCAATGTTCAGGCACAGGTTGGTTCATTTTAAATGACATTCCAAGCTATGTGAAGGATCTTCAGTAAGTATTAGGGTGGGAATATTTAGGCACCTCAAGATCCAGTTCAATTTCGATTCAGGCTGCAAAGACGTGACTGTTAAACTTTATGCAAAAACTATTTACACATTAAAGCTTGAGGATATTTTGCGCTTGAATGCAGAATCTTTCAAGAAAAAACTGCAATATGTTTAAGACTCGATTATTTTCTTCCACCCTCATTACAGATTTGTTTGGATTTCACAGAAATGTTTTAAGAGGACCCTGGGATCAGATTCCCAATCATTACAGGAAATTAATCCAAGAAATACTCTATATTGCCAAAAGTATTCACTCACCCCTGAACTCAGGTGTTCCAATCACTTCCATGGCCACAGGTATATAAAACCGAGCACCCAAGCCTGCAGACTGCTTCTACAGACATTAGTGAAAGAATGAGTCGCTCTCAGGAGCTCAGTGAACACCAGCGTGGTACCGTGACCGGATGCCACCTGTGCAACAAGTCCAGTCATGAAATTTCCTCACTACTAAATATTCCACAGTCAGCTGTCAGTGGTATCATAACAAAGTGGAAGCGATTGGGAACGACAGCCACTCAGCCACGAAGTGGTCGGCCACGTAAAATGACAGAGCGGGGTCAGCGGATGCTGAGGCGCATAGTGCACAGAGGTCACCAATGTTCTGCAGAGTCAATCGCTACAGACCTCCAAACTTCATGTGGCCTTCAGATCAGCTCAAGAACAGCGTAGAGAGCTTCATGGAATGGGTTTCCATGGCCGAGCAGCTGCATCCAAGCCTTACATCACCAAGCGCAATGCAAAGCGGTGAATGCAGTGGTGTAAAGCGCCGCCACTGGACTCTAGAGCAGTGGAGACGTGTTCTCTGGAGTGACCAATCACGCTTCTCCGTCTGCCAATCCGATGGACGAGTCTGGGTTTGGCGGTTGCCAGGAGACGGTACTTGTCTGACTGCATTGTGCCGAGTGTAAAGTTTGGTGGAGGGGGGATTCTGGTGTGGGGGTGTTTTTCAGGAGTTGGGCTCGGACCCTTAGTTCCAGTGAAAGGAGCTCTTAATGCTTCAGCACCAAGAGATTTCGGACAATTTCATGCTCCCAACTTTGTGGGAACAGTTTGGGGAGTTTGGCCCCTTCCTGTTCCAACGTGACTGTGCACCAGTGCACAAAGCAGGTCTATAAAGACATGGATGAGCGAGTTTGGTGTGGAAGAACTTTACCGGCCTGCACAGAGTCCTGACCTCAACCCCACAGAACACCTTTGGGATGAATTAGAGTGGAGACTGTGAGCCAGGCCTTCTCACCCAACATCAGTGTTTGACCTCACAAATGCGCTTCTGGAAGAATGGTCAGAAATTCCCATAAACACTCCTAACCCTTGTGGAAAGCCTTCCCAGAACAGCTGAAGCTGTTATAGCTGCAAAGGGTGGGCCGACATCATATTAAACCCTATGGATTAAGAATGGGATGTCACTCAAGTTCATATGCATGTGAAGGCAGACGAGCCAATACTTTGGCAATATAGTGTATTTCTAAAAATGCCCTTAAAGATCTGCGTATACAATCAAATTACCCATGTGGCCACGAAACACTGATAAAAATCCCATTCAACCTAATGAGAACCTGTACAACACGATTCATTTACACTCTCGAAAATGATGGTTCTTCAGGGGTTCCTTTAGTAAAGAATATGGTATAGAACTCAAAGAACCCTTTCCATGATTAAACCATTCTTTGCATTGTTAAATGGTTCTTCATATTAATGAAGAATGTGCTATAGATGGTTCTACATTGAGCCTTTTTGAAAAGGGTTCTTCTACTGTTACAATGTCAAGTCCATAACAATATGTAGAACCATATAAAACACATTCTCCATCAATATAAAGAATCTTTTAATCATGCAAAGAACCTTTTAATCATGCAAAGCGTTCTTTGAGTGTTCATGGTTCTATTTAGAACCATTTCCTTTACTAAGGAACCTTTTTTTTAAGAGTGTAAATGAATAACTAAACTGAGTCTGTTTCTCAATAGATCTGATGGGATTTTTACCAGAGTTCTGTAAAGTTTGTCCAACCTGGCAACAGTATCTATGATAAACATGCCCCGCCCACAAATGTGTTCTAAGTCTCCTGACTTATGTAATGGAACTGCCTCGTTATGGCAAAGGGCTCCTAATTTAAATAAGAATATTTGCATATTGCAGTTTTACATTTTCCCTTTTCCTCCATTCAGCCTGAGAACTCACAGTAGTGAAAAGCCCTTTTAGTCCATGTAGCTGAATTTTTAACAGTGTTCCCTTTAACACAAATAGTGGACAATTGTGTAAAATAAATACTCAAATAAAACATGATAAAAAGTGCAGTGATTCAGTGACGTTTGCAGTGCTTTTCCCAGCTTTTGTTCCTTTTAAATTTCCAAAATAAAGAACTAAAAATGTGACCTTTTGATCTTTAGGGGTGGCTTTGCTAAATTACTGCTTCGTATACAGTAAATATTAACAAGATTTTTGAAAACAATTGTAAAAGCAACAGTAATAGATAAATATAAATGGACACACAATCTTGTGCAGAAGTTTGGGCACCCCTGTCAAAGCTTTCTAGATTTTCTTCTTTTTTTAATCATCACTATGCAACTTTTGCCGCACACCTAAGCTGCTCCAGGTCCGGTCAGGTTTGGGATTTCAGATCACGAACAGCTCTTGGACCAATCAGGGCCGAGTTTCTGACCAATCAGGACCAGCCTTCTGAGTGAGGTTCACTTTTCAGCTTTTTTTTGGTGAACTGCTTCAAATCATCAGCTGTTATTTTGTTTTATATTACAAATAAGATCTAAACATTAAAAGAAGAACGGCACAGCGACCACTCAGCAACCCCTTAATGATGTTTGGGGCCAAACAGCCAATCACATGTAAAGCATTGCTTTTCTTAACATAATTTACACAACGTAACGGCAACTAGATCCCTGCTCAGATAACACTGACATAACACTGACATTTAGGCCCGAAACATACTTCACGCAAGGATGTGAACACAGACGCTTTGAACTATGTGAGGCATTTCATAACGCAACGCAAGCGCAAGCTGCAATCTGAGCAGGGGGCGCTATAAAGACAGCCAAGCCTGTCCAAGCAGTCCTGTACCGCCAGCGTGTTTTCTCAACTGCCATAGCAGACGAGCAGAGGAGCCTCACGTAAAAGTGGCTTATCCACATTTATCTGTTGAGGCTGTTGGAATAACAGCAGATCCTCTCTGATTTGTCCTCTAGCGCCTCCTTCAGTACTGAGTGCTTTAACCGCCACAGCAGCGCAAGAACGAGCGCCGTCATTTGCGTTCGTGTCGTTGTGTGAAGTACGTTTCGGGCCTTAGTAATATAACAGTGTCGTGTTATCATTAGCTGTTACTGTCATGACATGCCAACGTCTGATGCTCATGATGTATTACGTCACACGCTAAGCACACTCTAGCTAGCCGTCACAGGGCGTTACGTAAACTTTGAGCATTTAACGCTGGTGCTATAAAAGTTAAGCATTAAAATTTTTCAGCACTGAAATAAAACCAATATAAAAAGCTCATAAAATAAATCGCAATAAGATTTATATATATATATATATATATATATATAAATAATGCTAACAGTTAAACAATAAAATCTAAAGACCTGAGAAGCAGTTGATCACGTGAACAACATGCAAATTCTCGTAGACAGCGGAGCCTTCAGTCTGACGGCCACAGCTGCCCAGCAAAACATCAAAAATGACCAATAATTGCTGCTTTGTGTTTACTGGGAATAAATGGCGTTTGGTGAAGTTACTCACAATGAGCCTGATAACTATGACTGCTGTGTTATTTCAGCAGAGAATAATTCATTTGAACAGACTGTCAGATATTGGATGTCAGTTCGCCTAGACGGAACTACGCGGGTGGGAGAGGGACTAATGATTCCGATTTTCTGCAGGAGCGGGACTGACACTCCCGTGCAGACCTCTAATTCTATCTCTACTATCCAGATGTTTAACCCACACCAGCAGGAGCTCACGCACGGTTGGAAGTCATATAAACTAAACACATATAAACATATGTAAACTAAAGGTCAGACCTGACATTTAATATGCATTTTTAAAAGCCAATCAGTTAATTCTACATTAAAAAAAACACGTAGACAAAATATCTGAATGGAGATGTAAACACGTCTGTCGTACGAAAGAAATCAAACATTAAGGCTGCTGTCTAGAAAACTGCTGTTAATGATAACACAACACATATTACTGGACATAATCTGTCATGACAACTCCTGACGGTATGTGACGTGCGCCATAACAGGGATAAATCAATGTTAGAAAAAAAACTTTTCATGCCAATGAATAAAAGTTATACTGAAAAATGACAAAGACCACCTGACTCGACTGAATAGGGTTCAAGTAAAGCCAGCAAAAGCACTGCTGTTCATGCAGAGGTAGTGCTAAAAATGCTGTTTTCCACCATTATTGACATTTTCCTTTCTAATATTCCTGCAGTGTAATTTCTTGCTCCTGAAATTTAGCTGCTTGACTCCTCCTCATGTGATTGGCTGTTTGCTGTAAACATGCACTGATGAGCACAAAAGGGGATGCAGAGACTAGTCGATCTGACGATTTTACTGCTCGACGATGGCGGTTCAAATCCGATGACGACAGGTGAGGAGCTCTGGTCATTTCGTGGTCTGTATCTCAGGTTTCCTGAAGATCACACTCTTAAAAATAATGGCTCTTCAAGGCTTCTTTAGTAAAGAAAATGGTTCTATATAGAACCATGAACACTTCAAGAGCCCTTTGCATGATTAAAGGGTTCTTCAAATTATAAAATCATTCTTCAGATTGATGGAGTATATCACTGTTGTCGGAGCAAAACCTCGTATCTCCAAAACGGTAACTTTAAAGGAGAAGGAAAAAACCTACTTTACTTTTAATGTAAGTCAATGGAACCAGAATTTTTTCCATGTCATTTTGTGTCATTTCTTTTGGTCCATTCATCATGAAATTTATATACAATGTAAAGAAAAACAGACATTTTTAAATTATGTAAAAAAACTGAAACACGATAAAAAATTGGGATACAAGGTTTTGTTCCGACAACAGTCATGTGCTGTGTATTGTTCTATATAGAACCTTTTTGAAAAGGGTTCTGTATAGCACCAAACAGGGTTTGTCTATGGTTATAATCTGTCCCTTGTAACAATAGAAGACCCCTTTTGGTGCTATAGAGAACCACATACAGCACATTCTCCATCAATCTGAAGAACCATTTCACAGTGCAAAGAATTCTTTAATCATGCAAAAGGTTCTTTGAGTGTTCATGCTTCTATACAGAACCATGTTCTTTACTAAAGAACTCTTGAAGAACCATCATTTTTAAGTGTGTAGCAATGTGATCCAGAGCTCGCACATCACGCTCTACTGACCTTTGGAGTTTGGAGTCGGTTACTCTTATTTTCGCCGAGTTACGGCGCTCTAAATTTCTCTGGCTCTCTGGACAGAACCAGACGTCCACCTCTGAAAGCTCCTCACAGAAAGTTACTACATGAAATGGTTATGAATTCACTGCCTGATGACTGAGACACTGTTTTATGATCGTTTTGAGAAGATTTTGGCCTTAAACTCCATTCATGGTGGAGGGATACATGATATGCAGGGTGTTGTGAGGCAAAATAGTCCCCAAAGAAAACTGATTATTTTCAGATTTATCACTATTTTCCATCATCAACATTCCATATAAACTCAGAAGACTCGTGTAGGTTCACTGGTGGTTCTGGATAGTAAATAAAATGTCTATATTTGTGTTGCAGTCATGGCGACCCCTGGTTCCTATCACCACCACTGTAAAGACAAATTATTGTAATTATTATTATTTCAAATTTGTTAAATATAGTAAACAGACAGAAACTGTGCACTTGAGTTGGCAGAGATGAGCTGTATTCACGTGTATTGACTGTACAGGACGTGTTTACTTATTTGCAATTAGAAAATCAGCATGTAAATTGATCAGAGGTGCCCAAACGTCTGCATAAGGCAGTAGATGGATTTGATCAGTGGAGCATTGAAGTCAGTCAACGTTCTTTGGCAGCATCCAACGTCTTTGCGTGATGCAATTTTGTTTAATTGTTCTACGATCTGTGAAAAAAAAGCTTCTAGATCTTTTAATTTCACTCATTATCGACAGACTCCATAACAAGAAGGGTTTGCGATGACCCTCCTGCAGTTTCCCTGATTTCAAAATGTTATTTACATTATTAAAAAATGCAAAAAATGCCTATAAGGATTAATATGACCCTGTTTTAGGGATGTTTGTTTGGGTTTTTTTGGCAGAAAACAAACATCCTCAACATCAACATTGGCTTGAAATCCCCTTTGATAGTGTATTAGGCTGGTTTTAACTTTGTTCTGGCAGAATGTGAGGAAATTACAGCTCGTGTTTCCTCCCTTTGGTCCAAACGCTGCTTTTTGTTACCAGGGAGATTCAGGAGGATCCCTGCACCTCCTCCTTGGAATTCTGGGTTACCATAGAAACAGGTTTGTCCTTTGCAGCCTGTGGTTCCGCTTCTTTCTGATCGGACGGTTCCGCCTCTGCTCCGTCGCCGTTGGTCAAAGAGGTGCAGCCTCCGTTCGACTGGTCTGAGGAAGCGGTGGGCGGGGCTTTGGGTCTACTGTTGTGATCAGGAGGCGAGCCGATTGGTCCGTCTGGATGTGGGAGGACTCCGTCAGCGACAGCCAGCTGCTGATTGGTGGAGTTTAAGAGGAAATGATGTAATAAAGCCACAAATTATCACTTTTACCATCACCATTATTGTTACAAGTTAAAGTAATAATGTATAATAATAATAATAATAATAATAATATTAAACTATTTGAACATCAGAACACTTAATGACAGACTGTATAACAACACTATTAACTGGAACATTAACTGGAATCAGAATACTTTATTGTGCATACGGTGCAAAAGTTTTGGCACCCCGGTCAAATTTCATGTTTTTGTTGACTTTCTTAGTGTAAATAAGTGAAGACAAAGTCTACAGTTACACACTTCTGTACATTTAATACACAATTACTGTTTATTTACTGAATTTAACATATTGGGGGGGAACACAAAACTTAAATTGTGCCAAAGTTATGGCACATTCTGTATGTATTATGTTTTATTTTTTTCCAACATGTTAAACTCAGCGAGTAAGTAGAAAATGAACAAAACATGTAATTTGACTGAGTGCTCAAACGTTTGCGTACAACTGTCAAAAGTATATAATATGAAAATTTGATGTTGGCACTGGAATCATTATGAAAAATAAAATATTACAGTTATTAAATAACAAAAACAGCCACAGAGATTAAAATAGTGTTAACTACATCTTTTATTTATTTCATTAATTATAGCTTTTATTTATTTTATCTCATTTATCTTTTTAAATCTTATTTATTTATCTATTTATTAAGTTACTATGTTTGTAGTTTTAATGGTTTATTGATTTTTTTTTATTTACTACTATAATGATTACTTTTTTTTAGCATTTGATATGTTTTTGCTATTTAACTTCTCAATCCCTGACCCATATTGGCTCGGCTACATTGTAAATGAGGGTCTCCCTCAGTACTGTAGTTTTAATAAAGGCTGATTGATTGATTGATTAAACAACAACAACTACTACTAATTATAATAACAACAATAATAATAAATATCCGTATTATTCTTAGTAGTTGTTGTTCTTGTCAGCATTACTATTTTAATTTGTTTACAGTGCCCTCCACAAATGTTGGCACCCCTGGTAATCATGAGCAAAATGAGCTGTAAAAAATATTCTTAATTTCTGATCCTTTTTGATGTTTCATTCAAAATATCAGCAGAAATCTAACATTTATTTCAGGTATAATGACAATGAAAAAGCAATTTCATTATTAAATAATATTTTTATTAAAACTATGTGTGCCACAATTATTGGCACCCCTAGAAATTCTTAAGAGTGAAATCTAACTGAAGTCTATTCCCATTCATATTTTATGTTTTAAGAGTGGTCAGGAACACTTAAATGGTCAGTCATGACTTCCTGTTTCACTGAGGTATATATATGAGATGAAACACAGGCCAGATTCCCTCAGTCATCCATCACTGTGAGAAAGACCAGAGAAAGCAGCAGTGATGTCCAAAAAAAGGTTGTTGAGCTGCACAAATCAGGAAACAGCTACAAGAAAACAGATAAACCGCTGAAAAAGCCCATTTTCACCATCAGGGCAATAATTAAGGAGTTTAAAACAACTGGAGATGTCAAGAATCTGCTGTCTATACTGACCCCACATACAGTGAGGAGAATGAGTCGAGTGGACAAAGAATCTTCAAGGATCACAGACGAGGAAATGCAGACCTTAGTTTGGTCTTGGTGTCAGAACGTCTCCCAAACAACCTACAGGACCAGCTGTTTGTGGGGGGGTTACCAGAAGAAAGACTGCTGTCAAGGACAAACAAACTCCTACAGTTTGCCAGACGTTACAGGAGCTTTCAGTGGAACTGTGTTCTGTGGTCAGATGAGACCAAAATAGAGGATTTTGGCAACAAACAGCAGTGTTGAGTTTGGTGTGGACACAAAGACAGCCCTGCAAAAAAGTACCCCAGTCCCACAGTGAAGCATGGTGGTGGATGTGTGATACTATGGGATGTTTTTCTTCCAAAGGCCCTGGACAGTTTATTCAGATTCATGGTATCACAGACTCCATCAAGGAACAGCAGATATAAAACCAAATCCTGACTGCCTCAGCCAGGAAGCTCAAACTGGGCCATAGTTTGGATCTTCTAGAAGGACGAAGATCCAAAGCGAGTCTCAAAATTGACACAGAACTGGTTCACTGACTGCAGAATTTAGGTTTTGCCATGGCCACCCCAACCCCCTTGACCTAAACCCAATAGAAAACCTGTATGATGAGCTGAAGAGGACAGTGTGGACCTCAGAAATCAGAAGGATCTGGAGAGGTTCTGTATGGAGGAATGGGCTCAGATCCTTCGCCATGTGTTCTCCAGTCTCATTAAGCTTATAGGAGAAACTCACAGCTGTTATCTCTGCAAAGGGAGGCTGCACAAAGGATTAAATGAAGAGGTACCACCAATTGTGGCACACAGATTGAGAAAAATACTGATTTCCTGATAAGATTTTGTTTTTTTTTCCATCCTTATCCTTCAATTAAATAATTAAAGATAGATTTTAGTTACTATTGTGAATGAAAGATCAAAAGGATCAGCAATAAAAGTTTTTACAGCGTGTTTTGCTCATTTTTACCAGGGATGCCAATATTTGGGCACTGTATGTATAGCTTTGGCTGTATACAGTGTACATATTTATGTATGTGTGCATAATAAATTATTATTAATCCAATAATATGCTGAATTTTCTATGATTAGTGTGCGATTTGTGCAGGGGAAATAAAAACTACAGATCCCAGAATTCCACTTACTCTCTGTAGATCAGTCATCGTCCTCTCCTCCTGTGTCTGTTGGTGTGTGAGAGTGAGGAGCGTGTCCAGGACAGACTGTTTAGGGTGCATTCCTTTATCATAGCGGTTATACATCCCACACCAAAACCTGCACGAACACAAACAAACCGGCCACGAACGGTAAGATAAACACAAACAAGCACTGTCAGCAGTGAGAATGAGGCCTAAATGAGTGTAAAGGCTGCTGATGAGTCTTTAATTAAGCAGAACATACGTATGTGAACCAAGGCCCAAATCCCATTTCACCCCCCACCCCTACCACATAGCCCCACCCCTCCGTTTTGCGAATTCACGTCTAGGGGTAGGGTGTCCCAATTCTTATTGAGATAGAGGAGTAGGGTGAAGTGTTAGAGCCTCCAAATGGAGGTTTTTCAGACTCCAAACAGAGAGTTATGAGAAAAAGAAACACAGGGCAAGATGAGCGACCAAAGAAACCCACAAATGTGAGAATGTTTCTTCGTTAAAAAAAAAAAAAAAATCATTATAGTGTCTCAGTTTAATGTCGTTTTGGGGGATTATGGTGCATATAAAATCGCTAACAGTGTGCTGATGTCTCGGTAGCTAGCTTAATTTCCCGTTCCACCTTTAAATAATCCAGCAGTTCTGACGCCTGAAGTGCCAGAACGTAACTGCTGCTCCATCTAAGGTGGAATGTAACACACAACACAACAAACTCATAAATAGAAAATTCATTCCTAATACAACAATTAAGACACAAAAATTTTGAACATAGCAACAAATCTGGAAAACTCTTGGCTAATCTAGTAAAACATAAAAGAAAAAACAACAATACCAGTAATCAAGGATGAGACAGGAAATATTATGCAAACACCAGAGATCAATCAAGTATTCAAAAAATTTTATAAAAATCCATACTCACTATCACGATCCAGAAACAGAGGACATTTGCACTTTTCTTAATAACATAAACCTTCCAAGACTGACCAAAGAACAAACAAATACTGGAACATCCGATAACGTCAGAAGAGCTTTATAATGCCCTTCACCACGTCTAATAATAAAGCACCTGGTCCTGACGGCTTTCCCGCTGAATTTCATAAACACGTCTGGACAATACTCGCCCCACTATTCAACAGAATGACAGCTGAAAGAAAGCATAAAAAGAATTTACCATCTGAAATGAATACCGCTAAAATTTCATTTCATCTCAAACCTAACAAAGACCCCACCCTACCCTCCAGCTACCGTCCACTATCACTCATTAACACAGACACAAAAATTATAAGCAAGACCTTGGCGACTAGATTAGAAACAGTTATCCCGTCACTTATACATCCCAATCTGACCGGCTTCATCAAAGGAAGACATTCAACCACTAACATGGTAACTTGATGCATCACACATCGATTCACAAATCAGAAACTGCAGTAGTCACATTAGATGCAGAGAAAGCCTTTGATAAAGTCAATTGGAAATCCTTGTTCACCACATTCAACAAAATAGGGTTCGGAGAATCATTTATTAATCGGACAAAAATTCTGTACACTGAATATCTGACTTCAGCTTCGTATCACTGAAGAATTAGGGGTGGGCGATAATAAATAATTGCCCCCCTCTTTGAAGGCATATGGTGCCCTAAATGTAACTAAAGCCCAGCAGTGAGGAGCTGAACTTTACCCTCCTCTGCTGTCACTGCAGACTGGCAGGGTCGCCTACAGAGCAGCGCTGGTAGCTGTTAATGAAGTGATGCTCTTTTTATTTGAGGGTCCCATTTCAGAGGGAAGATTTCAACCACTACCCTGTAACTCAGTTCTAAGGGGCAACACTCGAAAACAAGGGGTAGGGTACTTCTGAACAGCAGCGTATGTGAGTGCGCTCGTACTTGAAGTGCAGCGGCAGCGTGCTCGGTCTGAGGACGCTGTTGTGAGCGGAGCGTCTGTACAGAGGGTTGCGGTACTCATCCTGATGCTGCAGCAGAAACGGCCACAGAGAAAACGTCCTCTCCTTCAGCCTGAGGAGACAGCGGTAAAGCAATCAGCAAACAACCACAGTTTGACCTCCTTACCCCGAATATCAGCCAAGACTTGTCTGGTAAACTCTGCTACTTCGACAAAATTGCATAATTCAGTGTGTGAGGTGTAAACAGAGAGATTCAGAGTGGTTTGGTGTGAAATGGTTCAGATGTCTTTACAGTGGTGGTGATAGGAACCAGGGGTCGCCATGACTACAACACAGATATAGACATTTTATTTACTATCCAGAACCACCAGTGAACCCACACGAGTCTTCTGAGCTTATATGGAATGATGATGATGGAAAATAGTGGAAAATCTGAAATAATAATTTTCTTTGGGGACTATTTTGCCTCTGCATGTATCCCTCCACCATGAATGGATTTTAAGACCAAAATGTTCTCAGAACTATCATAAAACAGTGCCTCAAACTTTCTGTGAGGGAGCTTTTTGAGGTGGACGTCTGGTTCCTTTCACCACCACTGTGAACAATTCTGACAAGCATTTCACACCAAACCTCTCTGAATGACTTTGTTTACAATGAATTATGGATAAATGCTATAAAATCAGCAATTTTATTGGATTGTACAGCACAGCAGTACAGTCAACATCTGCTGTTTTTAATGTATTCTATGAATATAACTTGATTCTAAGAAGGAAGACTAGCACTGGTATCAAATCAGTACACGGCACTGTCTTTGCCCTAAGCAACAGACTAAGGCCACCATATAGATATATACTGTATGTGGTAATGTGAAATAACCAATTCTAAAACATACATACATTTTAAAGATAGCTGTTATTTGCAACTGCAGCGTTTATTTTAAGTTACCTCAATAAAAGCTCCTTAATCAACAAACCCCTCAAACTTCCTCTTGGAGGTGTTTAATGAGCAGCTCAGCAGAGCAGCTGTTGAACGCGTCTCATTGGCTGATCTAAGGCCGCGTCCCAAACTACACACTTCTGTACTTCACCTACTACACTAATGAGTCCATGTCTAAAGGGATATGTGCTATTTTACACACTATATAGTGAGATAGTGTGCGGTTCGGGACGGGGCGCCAGTAACGCAGCGGGAAATCTCAGCCGTTTAGATTTCAGCTTTCGTTTGTTAATCACTACAGCAACCAATCAAATAAAGTCAAGTCAATACACTCAAATATATCAGTTAATACACTTTAAAATGAGATTTAAAAGTGTTTAAAGCGTGTTTTACTGACTTTGCTGGATCAGTTATGGCTTCACCTCATTACAGACAGACACTGCTGAGGGAACTTGATGTCGCTACCAAAATGGCGCGACTGTGACGTCATCGGAGTACTGTCAATCGGCCTCTTTCAGCTTCACTCAGACTATTACAAACATGTTAGTGTGAATGTTGAGTGCAATTCTGAACCCACCTCATCTCTTGTCTCTCTTTCTGGCAGTTTCCGATGAAGTTTCCGTACTGGCAGGCGTAGACGTGATCGTGGATGGTCAACAGGAAGCGTTCGGTAAACTGGAAGGCACAGGGGAACTGCTCCGACAGCTGCCACACGCACTCCACAAACTGAGTAAACACAGGGGAAACCTCTTTGGGGTCACCTTCCAGATGACCACACCTAAAACACAGACACACAAACAAGCGGGCAGATTAATAAACAAACAGAAAAGTGACTCTTTAGATGAAACTGTATGAGCTAAATATTTAGAATACAGAGTCAATTACAAACTTATTAACCTTTGAAAGACACAAGTAGATAACAGCACAGACGACAACAGAAGCGCACCGTAATTCTTTATGAATTTGTGGGACTGAAACCTTAAAATGTCCCCATAACTCAGCTTTAATGGAAATTCAACTACAAAACACACACTGAGGCCTTAAAATGTCCCCATAACTCATCTTTAATGGAAATTCAATTACAAAACACACACTGAGACCTTAAAATGTCCCCATAACTCAGCTTTAATGGAAATTCAACTACAAAACACACACTGAGGCCTTAAAATGTCCCCATAACTCATCTTTAATGGAAATTCATCTACAAAACACACACTGAGACCTTAAAATGTCCCCATAACTAAATTCAACTACAAAACAGCTGCAGCAATGGGGGAAACATGCAGCACACAAGATGCTCAGGCTCTAATGAAGCTTGCTACCTTACGCCCCCCATAGTCCTTCAAAATAAGAGTCCTGGACCTATGAAGAACACTGTGCCAAACTACACTCAACCAAAAGCAAGAATGTAGTTTTTTCGAAACGAAAAAATAAATGAAAAAAAATTAAGTATTTGTTCTTGTGTGCCTATATAAAAAATAAATATACATTTATTTGGTTTTGTAGCCTTTATAGAAAAAGCTACTGAGGTAATGCTGACTGTTTCTCAGCCCTTTAGTGCACAAAAAATGCGCTTGCAGTTCTGATATAAATAGTAATTAGTATTTCATTTTATTTTGCAGAATAGTAAATGGTGCTTTTGTAATTTTGTATTTTGCTATTTGTTTAAAGGGGGGATTTAAAGAGAAGTTAGTTAGATTTCAGTTTACACATGCCAAAAAAAAAATCTCTGCACTTTCATTACACCCAGGAGGTGACACATTATTTAACAGTTATCTATCGCTTCTCGTGTCGTCATCGTGACATCTAACAGCTTCATCAAACATCGCATTTTATATCAATATCCTGCAGCTCTAGCCTGCACTGATGTCATCAATAGGTTGGCGGTGCATGTAAGGCTGAGAGCGCATGACTGCTGTCAGACCCGTCTCGAAGAGGCACTATAATGTAATATATAAATGACTGATTCATATGAAATCAAGTATCTGTGCAATTTTCCCAAATTATCTCAGAAAGCCCAGATCAAATGATCACAGCCTGGCTGTTCACTTCAGCATTAAGATTAGAATTAAACGAATACAAACAAACAAAAAACAAACAAAACCACCAGTTAATACCAGATATTTATTTTCGTTCTCCTTCTAAATCAGCCTATCAGCACAAATGTTTTTGATTTCAGTCCTGTTTTAAACTTGAGGATAAAGACACTATGCCAAGAGCACCATTATCTAGTCATGGTTTTTAGTTTTTCTGAGATTTAAGTTGGACCTGATAAAAAAGAACTATAATAATAATAATAATAATAATAATGGTAACAATAACAAACCTAAACCTAAATTTTTATTCAGTGTTTTACAAGTGCGCTGCACTAAATCCAATCAAACAGGCCTCATTATGTTCACTCTGTAATGAAATATGTAGTCGGTCAGTGTTTCATTAAGTACTGACAATACACAGAATATGCTCAGAAAAGCAAATTGTGATATAATTTATCACGATAACGATAAAATATCATCATATTGCCCACCCCTAGGTGCCGATGTCTATTAGCAGGATTTGTGATTACGTGACCAAGCGGTAGATTCAAACAGGACTGCTATTACTGAAGGACCTCAGAGTTTGATGAATTCTAAGCCCTATTGGAGCTGGATTAGTTTTACCTGTGCAGGTGCTGTAGTCTGAGTGATTACTCAAGAAATTTTCATTTTAATTCAGTACAAATCTGCAACATCCATAGTTTTTACAAGTCTGACAGCCGCAGTAATCCTGTTCTAATTGACCTGATCTGCCTCATTAAACACCGTTTATAAGCCTGTAGTTTTTGTTACCTGTGATTGAATTTGTGCCCAAACGAAATCCACTCTTTCTCTATTAGAACCTGGAAAAGAAACACAAACACCATCATTGTAACACATGAACAACATAATTGTTATTATAGCTGCATAGAGGAAATCTAGGCTAAAAACATGCCTCTTCAGCCCAGCTTTTAATTTTGTGTGATTTATTTTGGTGTATCATCACCTTTTTATTTTTCATGTTTATTTTTACTTTATTTTTTTTTGCCTTTATTCACATTTTTCTGTTGCTTTTACTGATTGGTATTTTTATTGATTTTGTTTTCTGTTTTTTATTTTATAAAGCTGCCTTGTGATATTTTTAAAACACAAATGAAGATAAGAAAATTCAACTTCTAGGCTGATGGAAAAAAGTGGCTATTTCTGCCATTTCATTTACTCTTTTCCACTAAGAATGGGATTTCTGAATGCGGCTGCTGTGTTTATTTGATATGTCATTTCTGAGAGAATGTAATGTTAAAGGTTATTGTGAGATATCGTTATTGCAAAGATACTGTGAGGCGTATATTCACCATGAGTCCTTTGATGGTTCTGTAATAAGGGTCCAGCAGGATGCAGGCGAGAGAGCAAACCTGAGCAGTTCGATCCCAACCATCAGAACAGTGAACCAACACACTCGCTCCTTCATCACCCACTGCCTAAAACACACACACACACACACACACACACACATTATATATATATATATAGAGAGAGAGAGAGAGAGAGAGAAAGACAGAGAGAGAGAGCGCGGTGATGTGTATATACACATATATACATATATATATATATATATATATATGTATGTATATATATATATATGTATATATATATTCCCTTCCAAAGCAAACCATGTTTCTCCATTTCTGTTAATTTTTGTTTTGTCATTTCAACACAACAGATGTTCCTTTACATTGTGTGTAAATTCCATGACGAATGGACCAAAAGAAATGACCCAAAATAACTTTGGAAAAAATTCAGATTCCACTGACTTACATTAGTAGAGTATGTTGTTTCCTTCTCCTGTGAAGTTACCATTTTGGAGATTTGGAGATTAGAGGTTTTGTTATATATGTCTTGTTATATATAAACCAAACAATTTCCCTGAACATTTCATGCAGGTGACAAACAACTAAAAAGTTATGACTTATTAAAGTTTGCATCTTTTTCCACAGGCATTTCAAGGTCTTTTTAAAGCCTGTAAATCTTAGAAACTAATGAGGATACAAGTCTAATATTTTGCACACTGTCTGTTGGGCACAGTGACGGTATTTCCTAAAAAAAGTAAGCAAATCTGAGCTAATATGTCAGATGGCCATCAGGTGATGTCACGTGGATTGACCCACATATCATGGAAAACCTTTTTGAATTTTTTTTAAATGTATTTTTGCTCTTCACACTGTGTGAAAATTTCATGATGAACAGACGATCGATCTCAATTTACATCAAAAGTTAATAAGACTTGTTTCTACTCCTGAAAACTTCCCACATTACGGAAATAACAGCTTTTGCTCTAACAGCGACCATATGGCGACTTTTGCAATGTGCACCCCTGATTAACGTATGTCTCAGTGTAGTTTATTATACAGTATTTTGCATATATTTGAATATCATGTTGAAGTACCTTGGCCAGAAAGACGCCAGCGTCCATCACAGCTTTAATGTGTCTCAGCCAGCCGGAGTTTTCCAGTCCGGTCAGATAATCGCTCATAGAGGGAGACTTCTGAGCACACACTAATGAAGCAAAAACACACAGTCAATCAATCAAGAAATAAATACATAAATAAATAAACCAAGCTCTCTCACACCCAAATACAGCACAGCAGTACAAATGAATACAATGAATCACATACAAAGAAAAACAGCTCCCGTCATAAAATCTGATTCAACATGAAAAGGCTGTTAAAATCCTCCATTTACACACATATGAGGTGAATTCTGCAATTATTTAAAAAAATGTACTATTTATCTGCTTTTGTTAAATGTTCTGTTTATTTGATATGTAAAGAATGTGATCTAAAGGCGAAAACTCAAATTCACACACACACATATACATATACACACACATATATACATAGCCCACTTTGTTTTCAAGACTTTTAGGAAATGTTCACACCATGCAGCTGCCACTTTCAAACTAAATTAAATTTTAATTATTTCAGTTACTTTAAAATTTTAAGAAGAAAATGGAAAATAAAAACTTTCAAATCAAAAATCAAATTTCACAGAAAAACACCAAAACAACCCTGAAATAAACACCACTTTAAATTGTTTAAACAACAATAAAAACTAAGAAATAAAAGCACAAAAGATGTCTGTGCATGTGTGGCACTCACACTCCAGCAGTTTCTGCAGACTGCTCCTCATAACATGGATGTTCTCGATGCCCTGGAAGTGGAACCTGATGTTGGCGTAGTTATCTTCATTCTCGTAGCCTTTACCCGCTGCACGGTTAGCCATAGCATTTAGCTGAAACACACAAAACACACACAAATTGAAATAATTCTGGTCTGAAAATCATTTTAGTATTAAAGAGAAAAACATTTTTAAATGTTGACCAAATAAGAGATTAAGCAGGCCTGCGATAAAGTTTCAAACTTCAAGACTTCTCATATAATCTGACTTAGAGATGGAAGGATCGATCGGCTGTGTATCGGTGTCGGCCGATTTTCAGCCAATATGCAACCTGCTGATATTTCTCTAACTTAGCTGATCCTGAGAGCTGATCAGTGACATAAAACATATGAGCCATATTTCGTCAGAAGCGCCAGAATGTAACCGCAGCATTTAAGTTGAAAAGGAAAAATCTGAACAAAATCTGGGAAAAACAAAAAACAAAACTCAGCTGCCTCGAGAGTTCAAAGACATGAAAAGGGATGAGGAGGCTGCTCTGTTTCTGCTTCACAGGAGGGCAACATTAACTCATTTTTCACAGAATCAGTAGGTCAGTATTGTTTGGTCCAGTTTGCTAGTGTTTGTGATAGCAACTGTCTAGCTTCACAGCAACAACTGTGGCAACAGTTTGCTAACCCACAGCCTAGCAAATGTTAGCTTAATTGTTAGATAACTAATGTTAGTTACTTGCTGCTAACTTGTTGCTGTTCACTCTACTGTTATATCATAGTACTTGTCCATACAACGACTGCGAAGGGCTTTATGGCCACAAAAATCTAAAAAGGTGTCGTTCGCCTTGGCAGTGCTTGTCTAAATAATCACGCATTTGTCTCAAAGCGTGTGGAGATGTTCAGTATCCCTAATTGATTATGTGGCTTGTGACACTGTATGACTCACTGTTATCAATAAACATGGACTAAAATACATCAGCAGAGCTGAAAGCAGCCTGAATTCTGTCCCTTTTGTACAGTGCTAACTGGTGGGGTATAAGCGAGATGGTTCTTCAAGGGTCTAAAGTACAGACAAAATTCAGACTTTAAGATGTCCGATACTGTTCTTAGCTATGTGAGGTACTTTTATCCATGTTTATGAATAACAGAGCGTCATACAGTGTCATACTGCGGTAACCTGGGAAAACTAAGTTCAATTTTTTGCCAAACTATTGCTTTTAAGGTTAATTTTAGGTAAAATGTTGTACCTTTGGTCGAGTGTCCACTACATAAATGAAGGGGCAGTTGGGGTTGGCCTGGCTGATGGCCTGCAGCATCTGCTCGTCCTCGATACACCGTGAACTCAGACCTGAGAGCGGCTGGCTGCAGCGACAGATCGCTGCCTAGCAACGCGACAAACAAACAAACAAACAGGTAAATGTCAGTAAACAAAAACTAGACAGGACTAATTTACCTTTAAAAAGCTAAATAATATGTACATAATATTTAACTCTCTTTTACTGTTAAAACGTGGGGTTATTACGAGGCATTTAAAAGCCGCTAGGCCACTGTAGAGTTAACTCCCCACTCTCTATTGCGCATTTCACACAGTGTGATTTACCATCTGAGTAGAATTTGTAGTGTTTTCTGTACAGCTCGAGTGTCTTGGCGGTACAGAATTTAATTATGAAAATTTTAAAATATGATACTTCACAGTTTTCCAAAGGTTATTAATAACTGAAGTCCTGAGTGACTCTGCTATAACAACAAAAAATAATTCATACATAAAGAATGTGGGCGTGGCTTTGGAAATCACTCATTTAGAGTGTCGCAGTCTGATGTTTCTCCAGGAGGGAGCGCTATTAGCACACGAGCCATCATGTACCCACACCAGAAGGAGCTCATTAACACACATCTGAAACAACATCTATTAAAATGACAATGGGTTTCTCACTACATTAGTATTTATTGTGTGATTTCATTGAAACAGTTAACGTTTAAAAACACATACAAACAAAAAACAGAACAGAAAGTAGGTCAAAGCTGCTAATCGGTAACCAAGATTTTTTAACCAGAAAATATTGCGCACCTTACTTTAAGATATTACCCAAGCCTTTATACAACACTTTTCACGCATAAAGACGTAGCTCGAATGCTTCACGGTGTGTAAAGCGTTCAAAAGTTTGAAATATAATATGAAACTATTGGGTTGAGTGAATATGTATCAAATGATTCTAATACATTTGTCCTGATCAATGTTACGGGTTTCAGATCATTAGTAGAAGATTCTAAAATGACTGAGAAACACTGCATAGCACTGAGAATAAAGCTATAATAAAATTTATATGCAGAGCACATTACTTTTCAAATGTAAATAGCAACTTATTATTTATATAATTTAACATTTTATTGAATTATGTTCACAGAATTGTTGTAATATTGAGTGAAATATTTATATTATATTTATATTATATTATAGTTTACAATTATTTAGTGGCATGAAAAGGTGTGTGAACCCTTTGATAGCTGCAATAATTAGTCAAAAAATGTGATCTGAATCACAAGTATAGGCAAACAAAATGTGCTAAAGCTAACGCACAAATAATTATTATCTTTCATATCATTATTGTGCACATCAATTTAACATTCACAGAGCTGGTGGAAAAAGTAAGTGAACCCTTGGATTTAATAACTGGTCGACCCTCTTTTGGCAGCAATGACCTCCTGCAACCCCCGTTCAAGAGGAATACTGGACCCGTTCTTCCTTCCAGAGGTGCTTCAGCTCAGCCATATGCTTCAGATTGGTCATTTCACAGCATCTCTACCTGGTTAAGGTCTGACTCAGCCAATCAGAAAGGTGCATTTCTGTAGTTGTTTCACTTTAATGTTCATTTACTTTTTCTAGCCCACACTATGAGTGTTTGAACGATGTATTCAATAAAAGAACAATACACTATTTACTGTGTTATTAGTTTAAACAGATTGTGTTGCTCTGTACTGTAACTTTTCTTGCCACTGTTTAAATAATTATGTATACAAAGTAAGAAAAACAACATACAGGCTGAAAAACACAGACAGAAGCAGACGAGTGTGTGTAGTGATGGTGTGCAGGTACCTGAGTGTCTTTGTGGTAGTAGGAAAGCGCAGGCAGCCGACCGCGGCTCCTAAACTTGGCGCTGCCAGTTACCGTAGCAACACTGGCAGATTTAGGGAGGCCAAGCACTGATGGGTACGTACTACAGAGCTGAGAGAGAGACAGACAGAGAGAGAGAGATAGACACAGAGAAAAAGAGATAAACATTTTATATATATATATATCTATTTATCTATATATCTATCTATCTATCTATCTATCTATATATATATCTATATCTATTTATCTATATATCTATTTATCTATATATATATATACATACACACACACACACACACACATACATATAGCACTTTTTTTCAGATTTTGTTATGTTGCGACTTTGTGCTAAAATGGAAAAAAAAAAATTAGCACTCTTCTAGACCTGGATGACCCACCAAACTAAGTAATCGGGGGAGAAGGGCCTTGTTAAGAGAGGTGACCAAGAACCCGATGATCACTCTGGCTAGACAGAGTGGCCAGACAGAAGCAAAAGACATTTTGCAAAAAAGCACCTAAAGGCCTCTCAGACTGTGATAAACAAGATTCTCTGGTCTGATGAAACCAAGATTTAACTTTTTGGCCTCAATTCTAAGCGTCATGTCTGGAGGACACCAGGCGCTGCTCATCACCTGCCCAATACCATCCCTACAGTGAAGCATGGTGGTGGCAGCATCATGCCGTGGGCTTGTTATTCAGCAGCTGGGACAGGGAGACTGAAGGAAAGCTGAACGTACAGAAATATTCTTAATGAAAACCTGATCCAGAGCACTCGGGACCTCAGACTGGGCCGAAGGTTCACCTTGCAACAAGACAATGACCCTAAAGCACACAGTCAAGACAGCACAGGAGTGGCTTAGGGACGACTCTGTGAATGTCCCTGAGTGGCCCAGTCAGAGCCCTGACCTGAACCCAGTTAAACATCTCTGGAGGAACCTGAAAATGGCCGTCCACCGACAGTCCCCATCCAACCTGACAGAGCTTGAGAGGATCTGCAGAGAAGAATGGCAGAAAATCCAAAATCCAGCTGTGCAAATCTTGTGGCATCAAACCCAAGAAGACCGGAGGCCATAATCGCTGCCAAAGGTGCTTCAACTAAGCTCTGAGTAAAGGGTCTGAATACTTATGTCAGTGCAGTATTGCAGTCTTTCCTTTTAAATAAATTTGCAAAAATGTCTAAAATTTTGTTTTCACTTTGTCATTATGAGGTATAGAGCGCAGAATGATGGGGAAAACGTCTGCACAATTTAACAAAATGTGAAAAAAGTGAAAGGATCTGAAGATTTTCCGAATGCATTGTATGTGTGTGTGTGAGTGTGTGTGAGTGTGAGTGTGTGTGAGTGTGTGTGAGTGTGTGTGAGTGTGAGTGTGTGTATAAGGAGACCAGACTTTTTCCCCCCAAAGTAATTTTGGGCCATGAAATTTACACACAATATAAAGGACAACAGACATTTTCAAATTATGACAAAAACTGAAAAACTCAAAAACAGTAAAAAAATTTTTTGTTCCGAATATATATATATGTATAGACACACACACACACGTTTGTCTTGCTATACATATGAGGACATCCATAGGTTTCTATTGATTTTGTGTTACTGTAGCTAAATAATACTACACGTAAACCTAAACCTAACCTCAACCTCACTATCCAAAAGGCAATTTTTCTGCTATTTTAGTTTTCAAATAAAAAAAGTAATTGTGGTGAAAACAACACAAAAATTTCATATGGTCCTATCATAGCGAGCACATGGGGTATACAAGTATAGCAATACAAGAACACACACACACACACACACACATATATATACACAGAGAGAGAGAGAGAGAGAGTGGGTGTGTGTGTTTTTGCCTGCATAAGTGTTTACAGGAAGTAAACATCTGATCTGAAACAGCCGAGTCAGTCAGGAAGTGGCTGTGCAGGTCAACGATATCACGATTTTATCATCGTGATGAAGAAAATTATGATGAGTCGTCTGTTCTGAGCAGACTGTGGATATTTTTAATATTTACAGATCAGTGAAAAACTGGGTGTCACGTAACACGTCGTATAACTTCGGTGAGTGGGCGGGGTTAAACTGCTGCAGCCTGAGTAGGTGGATATATGTAAACGAGTTGTGACATCACAGAAACAATTAACTCAGATTGGGCTGTTTTTGCTGTTTAGTTTCTATGGACTGTTTTTTTCTGGAATGTATAACCAGCATGTTTTAAAACTTTAACAATGTTTACGCACTCCTTAATTAAGCCTTACACTCCTAAAATTTCTGGGAATTCTGTTTTTATTTTTTGCAATTAGAATTGCAATTATAAAGTATTTACATGTGACAGTCACACATGCCATATGTCGTTATTTTCAGGAGACCCTGGTCGATTCAGATATGCCATTGTTTGACATGTAAATGCTAACAGATCTGATATCTGATCAAATAAATGACCCAGCGCCTGCTAAATTTTGTATTGTTTTAATTATAGAGATCTTGAAAAAGAGGTGCAGTTGTATTTATCTTTTCAGAAGTTGTTAGTCTGGAGTGTCTGTGAGCTGAAAGTGCAATAATTTTAATGCTGATTCATTCTATTAGTTATTATGAGTAAAAATAAATAATGAATTTCTTTTATTGATGGGTGATTTTGGAGCTGGATTGCTGGCTGATGGACGGTCACAGGTGGATAAAATCACTCTTGATGGTGAAGCAAAGTCTGATTAGTGATCTGATGTGTGAATCATGTCGCTGTTTTAACCCTTTGTTGGAATATGAAGGGCAAAAAGCAGAGCAATAATATCAGGATTTTAGGTGATTTTCCGAGCTGAATTACTCACTGATGCTGACGTCATGCTTGCTAGTTAGGGGTGGGTCTGCTGAATGTCCTGATATGTGGATCATGTCTGTAGTTTAAACCGTTCTGAAGTTATGAAGGCTACAAGTGACCTAATGACCGCAAACTGAAAACCAGAAGAACCATGTTTTATAATAATCTGAAATAAAACGACCAAAAAGACTATTAAATCCGTCTCACGAGATCTCAACAACAATCGGGACACCCTACACCCAGACATGAACAAGTAAAACGGCGGGGTGGGCCTGAGTGGTAGGGGCAGGACCAAATGTTAGGGGTGGGGCTGAGCGGTAGGGGTGGGGCTGAGCGGTAGGGGCGGTAGGGGCGGTGCTGAGCGGTAGGGGCAGGGCTGAGCTGTAGGGACGGGGCTGAGCTGTAGGGGCGGGGCCGAGCAGTAAGGGCGCGGCTGAGCTGTAGGGGCGGGGCTGAGCTGTAGGGGCGGGGCCGAGCGGTAAGGGCGGGGCTGAGCTGTAGGGGCGTGAAATGGGGTTTGGGCCTTTATGTGGGAAATGGGCTCTTTAAAATGTTGGTGCACTGAGTCCTGCGGTTCTTATCAATATCCAGAATAATGTGACATCATCACGCAGACGCAGCGCCGCCTGCCCCGTCACTCGTACCTCGTAGCTGCTGTTGATGTGACTGATTTCCCAGAGTTCATTGGGCAGCCCCATCCTGCTGAAGTCGGTCGCCATGTCGACGAGGCTCCATCCCGCCGTCCGTTCAGCTTCGCTCTGCTGGGGGTTGTAGAGAAACGCGTAGAGCTCCTCCACCTTCACTGAGACACAACAGAACCGTCAGAACCGCAGAGACAGAGAACGTTCTACAACATCTTCAGTACAAATATCACCCTGACTTTATAGTGAAACTAGAAAATACAGCTCTAACCTACAGAACCAACAAGTTCTAACCTACTGGAAAATCAAGGTTTAACCTACAGAACCAGAGAAAAACAGTTGTAACCTACAGAACCGGAAAAGAACAGTTGTAACCTAGAGAACTGGAGAAGAACAGTTGTAATCAACAGAACCGGAGAAAAACAGCTGTAACTTACAGAACCAGAGAAGAACAGTTGTAACCTACAGAACCAGAGAAAAACAGCTGTAACTTACAGAACCAGAGAAGAACAGTTGTAACCTAGAGAACTGGAGAAGAACAGTTGCAATCAACAGAACCGGAGAAAAACAGCTGTAACTTACAGAATCAACAAGTTCTAACCTACAGAACCAAAACGTTGTAACCTACAGAACCAGAGAAAAACATCTGTAACCTACAGAACCAACAAGTCCTAACCTAAAGAACCAGAGAAAAACAGTTCTAACCCACAAAAAAAATAAAAACAAAAATACTCCTGACTTTGTAGCAGAACCAGAGAAAAAAAAACAGCTCTAACCTACAGGATCAACATGTTCTAACCTACAGAACCAAAGAAAAAGCGTTCTAACATACAAAACCAACAAAATACTCCTGACTATGTAGCAGAACCAGAGGAAAAACAGTTCCAACTTACAGAACCAACCTAGAAACACTTTCTTTACTAAAGAATCCTTGAAGAACCGTCTTTAAGGGTGTAAACCGATTGATACAGTAAGTCTGGGAGGCAGGTGTGGCGCCTCCTGCTGACGGTGTATAAACAGTGGTTTACCTGGCTGCGACAGACGCAGCAGAGACTGAAACACATCCTGAGCTTCTCTCTCTCTGGGCATCAGCAGGTGGAGCAGCTGGAAGGTTTTGCAGTGAATGAGCAGCGAACAGCCCGACGCCGTCAGAGGGAGCTTCTCCACGGAGGAGATGTGATGATGGAGAACCTACAAACACACACAGTCATTAAAGCAGTTATACTTTAAGACTTTTCATTTATGTATCTGTGTGCATGTATTATTGTTTCCTTATTTAATGTCTACTTCAATTTGATGACATGAAACTGCTTCTGAAAACATTTTTCTAATTTTTTTAAATAATGAGTGCAGTGATGCTCGTCTTTGATAGATATATTTTTATGCTTTTCTCAAAATCCTGCAGACTTTTTCTTCAATTTAAACCACGATCTATACATGTAAACTGCATATTTTTTAAAATACAAGCACATAAAGTAATAACGTTTATTAATTATTCTTATTATTCATATCATTTTTATTATTGTTATTATTACTGTTGTTGTTATTAAACAGGACATGGTGTGCATTTTTATATCAGCATATATATTTGCATTTATGTCTATGTACATGTTATATCTTAAACATAGTGAGTGTTATAAAAGCTTTTAATTGCCTGCTTCAGTTATTAAACTGTGCTGGTCTGGTTGCTCCATCTGATTGACTGGTTGCGCCACCTGACTTTTCAGACTAATTTCAATTAAACAGGCATCAACTTAGCCACCTTTAGAAACCTTTGTCCTTCAGCTTGAGTTTATACTGACTTTTCTTCAGATAATTAAACAATATTTTAATAATTCCACATTTTCGTGGTTCTCCTGAGGTCGGACCACCTGACATGGTAAACTGAACCGTTTTAACCACGACTCAAACGTCACATTTTGTGACCTTGGCATTGAACCATGAAGGTCACCTGGGGTCTTCTTTATGATGGAATATCCTGGGCACTTTTATGTAAAAGCACATCAAAATAAAAGTCTTTTGTTTTTGGTTGCGCCGCCTGACATTTGAGGAAGTAAGAACTTGCGGACAAAAGTGTTTCAGAGAGGTACTTTTTTGATAGTTTATTTAATCAATTCATATGGTTGGACGGTTGCACCACCTGCCTGTTTTAGACTTTCGCATGCAAAAAGAAACTAAAATGAATTTTATATGAATGCACTGAAAATTGTTTCACATAAAAAAGGTACTGCTGAATAATTTGATACATGTCATGTATTGATTAAATAATTTATTTGGAAAATAATGGACATTAAATCGTATGACATGTCAATGACCCATATAGTACCTTTCAAAACATAAAAATAAAGCTCAAAGGGCTTCAGGGTATAAATAAAACAAATAAAAAATGTATTAATTAAAAGTGAGTCTTTTTATTAAAATAATTACATTTAATTTTATTATAATAATAACAATTATAATAATAAAGTAAAATAAAATTAAAAGAACGTTCTAAGAGAATTAAAAGCTTCTGCATAAACAAAACTACTGTTTATTTGCTGAATTAAAGGAAGAAAACAGAAAATAGTAGTCTGTGCAAAAGTTATGGCAAATTATATTTTATGTTTTGTTTTTTCCAATATGTTAAACTGAGCAAATAAAATAAAAACTGTGCACTAAAACACACAAGAAAATGCCATATTTCAGTGTGTTGATTTATTTTTACTTAGAAAACTGATTGTATATTGATTATATATAAAACAAATAAAAAGGCAGATATACACAGACATAGATAACAAAAAAAGCAGCATTTTAAAGCAAATAAACAAAAAAACAAATATACTACATTACCCATGTTTCTTTGCGGTCGTTGTTGGCTTGTTCCACGTAAATGAGGTGAGTGGCGGTCAGGTATAACGTGCCTGTAGCTGCCTTCTTGGTAGCGTATCTGTCCAACAGCTTCACATATTCTACCTGCAGACAATCAGAACCACTGTAATGTAAGGCAGTAGTTTGGCAAAACGTTATATTTGGGTGATCTCCCCCTTCTTGCCCCAAAGGTAAACACCTCAGTGTCGCTGCTGGACTGAGAACCAAAAATATCCAGTCAACAGCGTCCTGTGGGCAGCGTCCTGTGACCACTGATGAAGGACTAGAGGATGACCAACACAAACTGTGCAGCAGCAGATGAGCTATCGTCTCTGACTTTACATCTACAAGGTGGACTGACAAGGTAGGAGTGTCTAATAGAGTGGACAGTGAGTGGACACAGTGTTTAAAAACTCCAGCAGCACTGCTGTGTCTGATCCACTCGTACCAGCGCAACACACACTAACACACCACCACCACGTCAGTGTTACTGCAGTGCTGAGAATGATCCACCACCCAAATAGTACCTGCTCTGTGAGGGTCCATGGGGGTCCTGACCACTGAAGAACAGGGTAAAAGGGGGCTAACAAAGTATCAGAGAAACAGATGGACTACAGTCTGTAACTGTAGAACTACAAAGTGCACCTATACAGTAAGTGGAGCTGATAAAATGGACAATGAGGGTAGAAACAAGGAGGTGGTGGCTGAATATTAAGATTTACAGGCACCAAGTTAGACAGAACTAGGCCCAGTCCCATTTCACCCCTCGCCCTCACCACTTAGCCCTTACCCTCTGATTTGTGCGTTCACGTCTGGGTGTAGGGGGTCCTGATTCTTGTTGAGATAGAGGGGTGGGGCGAAGTGTTTGGGCTACATGACCCTCCAAACAGAGGTTTTTCACACTCCAAACAGAGAGTTATGAGAAAAAAAGAAAAACCGGTGAGATGAGCGACAAAAAAACCCCACAAATGTGAGAATTTTCTCTGTTAAAAATTACAGTCATCGTTTTATTATCTTAGTTTCATGTGGTCTCAGTATATTTTGGTCCTTTTCATCATAACAAGCACAAAAATCACTAGTAGTGCTGATGACTCTGTAGCTAACTTTCCCGTTCCACCTTAAATAGTCCAGTTCTGATGCCTGAAGCACCAGAATGTAACTGCTGTTAAGGTGGAACGGGAATTCGAACAAGAATCTGGTGAATATCTGACTTCAGCTTCATATCAATGAAGAATTAGGGGTGGGTGATAATAAATAATTGCCCCCTCTTTGAAGGCATATGATGCCCTAAATGTAACTGAAGCCCAGCAGTGAGGAGCTGAACTTTACCCTCCTCTGCTGTCACTGCAGACTGGCAGGGTCGCCTACAGAGCAGCGCTGGTAGCTGTTAATGAAGTGATGCTCTTTTTATTTGAGGGTCCCATTTCAGAGGGAGGATTTCAACCACTACCCTGTAACTCAGTTCTAAGGGGCAAGGAGACACTCGAATACAAGGGGTGGGGGTAGAAATGAGAAATGGGACTGGGCCATAAGCTTCTTCATTAACAGCTACTAGCGCTGCTCTGTAGGCGACCCTGCCAGTCTGCAGTGACAGCAGAGGAGGGTAAAGTTCAGCTCCTCACTGCTGGGCTTTAGTTACATTTAGGGCATCATATGCCTTCAAAGAGGGGGGCAATTATTTATTATCACCCACCCCTAATTCTTCAGTGATATGAAGCTGAAGTCAGATATTCACCAGATTCTTGTTCGAATTTTCCTGTTCCACCTTAAATGGAGCAGCAGTTACATTCTGCCACCTCAGATGTCAGAACTGCTGAACTATTTAAGGTGGAACGGGAAACTGGAACGAGACCTCAGCACACCATTAATGATTTTATGAAGAAATTATGAAGAAAAGGAGCAAAATACATTGAAAGCAACATTAAACTAAGATAAAACAATGAATATCATAATTTTTAACAGAGAAAATTCTCACATTTGTGGGTTTGTTTGGTCGCGTGCGCAGCCATCTTGCTGGTTTCAACTCGCAAAACGGAGAGGTGGGGCTAAGTGGTGGGGGCGAGGGGTGAAACGGGATCGGGCCTTAGTGCCACTATCAGTGCTGGGTGCTGGCTGATACTGAGGAAGGGAAAAGTGGAATCGCTGAATCCCTAAAGACGTCTGATGCTTTAATATGGACGTAATGCTGGTTTGCCCTGACATCAGTAGGAGCAGGTAAACAACAGCGGTTCAGGATATTCACCGCTGGCGTCTGTAATTTATTTCTGGCAGACAGGAAGTCGCTGTGGAGGATCACACTCTTCAAAACACACTTCCTGCAGCGCTGCTGACCAGCAACACTGCACATCCTCGCTTTTCACCCCGCTCACCCCTCCAAAGTCACACTGTCACACTGTCGCTCACGTGTTCCATAAACTTTATGACAAAAACCTGCTGAGTGGCTGTAAAGCAGGTTCACTCATTAATGCGCTTACTGGCTGCAAACGTCACCACAGCAGAAATCACGGGTGTGGATTCGGCCCATAGACTGTAACTGTAACACTCCTGCGTATTTAAAGGTGCAGTGAGCGACTCTGGAGAACGACTGTTGATATTTGAACTCAAAACAAACACACTCCTCTCTTCAGTGCTCCTTCAGAAGCTCCGCCCCCCCATTCATGAATATGCATTATATCTTATAAAGCTAGGCCTGCAATCTCAAAAGAGATGGCTCTTCAGTAACGGTTCTTTACAGAAGTTGTCCAGGTCCTACAGAGGCAAAGCAGCCCCAGACCATCACACTACCACCACCATGTTTCACTGTTGGTGTGATGTTCCACCTTTGACTCATCAGTCCACAGAATATTATCCCAAAAGTCTTGGGGGGTCATCTAGATGTTTTTTGGCAAATGTGAGACGAGCCTTTGTGCTCTTTTTGTGCAGTGGTTTGCGCCTCGCGGCTCTCCCATGGATGCCGGTTCTGCTCAGTGTCTTTCTTATTGTGGAATCATGCACACTGATCTTAACTGAGGCAAGTGAGGCCTGTGGTTCTTTAGATGTTAGATGTGCTCTTGGTGAAATTTTGTTAAGCAGGCCACTCCTGGGAAGGTTCCCCACTGTTCCAAGTCCCCTCCATCTGTGGATAACGGCTCTCGCTGTGGTTCTCTGGAGTCCCAGAGCCTTGTGGCTTTGTAACCCTTTCCAGACTGGCAGATCTCAATGACTGTATTTGAATCTCTTTAGAACGCGGCATCATGTACTGCTTTTTTTTTAGATCTTGTAGCAGACGGGTTCTGTTCAAGTGGTGTGGATAGTGAAATTGAACCCGACGGTCAATTAAATTTGATTAATTTAGCAGCTAAGGGGGGCAATTACTTTTTCACATAGGGCCAAGTAAGGCTGAACGGCCATTTTTCCTTCAATAATTGAAATCATCATTTAAAAACACCATAAAAGCAACTTTTTTCAGTCTGACGATCTGAAACATTCAAGTGTGACAAATATGCTAAAACAGATGAAACTGGGAAGGGGGCTAAGACTTTTTCACAGCACCGCGTAACACATTCTGCGTCAACCTAAAGAACCAAAGGAGAACCTCAAACAAACATCGGCCTAAACAGTCACAGCAGTCATGTTTAACTAAAGCTGCTGGAGAATAAAAATAAAACCTGAAATAACATTATGAGGTTGATCTTACGGTTAAAAGCATTTTTAGACCCTTAAAATCGTTCTAGATATCAGGCGGTACATTTTCATGTCAGTCAGATATGAGAACCCTGATTTTACTGCTGAGAACGCGAGTGTGTGTGGCAGCGGCTTCATTTGCATGTGAGCGAGTCTGAAGGCAAACAGTGAGAGCAGAAAAGAGGAACTGGGACTCTTAATTTAAGCCTCTGCAGCGTCAACAACACACGACTTATAACAGCCCAGCAGAGCTGAACACACTGACCCTCAGCATATCACTGAACACCGCACTCGTTTAATCATCCGCTTCTCCTCCTCGCCCTCTCTCTCTTTCTGCTTTCTCCTTTTCTCTCATCTCTGTTCCCTTTTTCTCTCTACTTCCATCTGGTTCTCTCTCTTTTATGTTTTTCTTTCTTTCTGCTTTTTCTCTCAAACTTTTCTTCCTCCCTCCCTCTTTATCTCTCTCCCTATCTCTCTTTTCTTTCTCTGTCTCTCTCTCTTCCTCTCCCTCCCTCACTCTATCTCTCTCCTCCCTCCCTCACTCTATCTCTCCTCCTCCCTCCCTTACTCCATCCCTCCTCCCTCCTTCACTCTTTATCTCTCCCTATCTCTCTTTTCTGTCTATCTCTCTTCCTCTCCCTCCCTCACTCTATCGCTCTCCTCCCTCCCTTACTCCATCCCTCCTCCCTCCCTCACTCTATCTCTCCCCTCCCTCCCTTACTCCATCCCTCCTCCCTCCCTCACTCTTTCTCTCTCCTCCCTCTTTATCTCTCTCCCTATCTCTCTTCCTCTCCCTCCCTCACTCTATCTCTCTCCTTCCTCCCTCTTTTCTTTCTGTCTATCTCTCTTCCTCTCCCTCCCTCACTCTATCTCTCTTCCTCTCCCTCCCTCACTCTGTCTCTCTTCCTCTCCCTCCCTCGCTCTGTCTCTCTCCCCCCCTCTTTTCTTTCTCTGTCTATCTCTCTTCCTCTCCCTCCCTCACTCTATCTCTCTTCCTCTCCCTCCCTCACTCTGTCTCTCTTCCTCTCCCTCCCTCACTCTGTCTCTCTTCCTCTCCCTCCCTCACTCTGTCTCTCTCCCCCCCTCTTTTCTTTCTCTGTCTATCTCTCTTCCTCTCCCTCCCTCACTCTGTCTCTCTCCCCCCTCTTTTCTTTCTCTGTCTATCTCTCTTCCTCTCCCTCCCTCACTCTGTCTCTCTTCCTCTCCCTCCCTCACTCTGTCTCTCTTCCTCTCCCTCCCTCACTCTGTCTCTCTCCCCCCCTCTTTTCTTTCTCTGTCTATCTCTCTTCCTCTCCCTCCCTCACTCTGTCTCTCTTCCTCTCCCTCCCTCACTCTGTCTCTCTTCCTCTTCCTCCCTCACTCTGTCTCTCTTCCTCTCCTTCCCTCACTCTGTCTCTCTTCCTCTCCTTCCCTCACTCTATCTCTCTTCCTCTCCCTCCCTCACTCTGTCTCTCTTCCTCTCCCTCCCTCACTCTGTCTCTCTTCCTCTCCCTCCCTCACTCTGTCTCTCTTCCTCTCCCCCCTCACTCTGTCTCTCTTCCTCTCCCTCCCTCACTCTGTCTCTCTTCCTCTCCTTCCCTCACTCTGTCTCTCTTCCTCTCCTTCCCTCACTCTATCTCTCTTCCTCTCCCTCCCTCACTCTGTCTCTCTCCCCCCCTCTTTTCTTTCTCTGTCTGTCTCTCTTCCTCTCCCTCCCTCACTCTGTCTCTCTTCCTCTCCCTCCCTCACTCTCTCTCTCTTCCTCTCCCTCCCTCACTCTCTCTCTCTTCCTCTCCCTTCCTCGCTCTCTCTCTCTCTCCTCCCTCCCTCTTTTCTTTCTCTGTCTATCTCTCTCCTCCCTCCCTCTCTCTCTCTTTATATCTCTCTTCTGTCTATTTATCTCTTTTCTTCCTCTCCCTCCCTCTCTCTTTCCTTTCTCTATTTATCTCCCTCTATGTCTCTTTTTTTCTCTATTTATCTCTCTCTCCCTCCATCTCCCTTTTTCTCTATTTATCTCTCTCTCTTTCCCCTCTCCCTCCCCCTCTCTCTTTCTCTATTTATCTCTCTCTTCCTCTCCCCCTCTCTCTCTCTCTCTCCCTCTCTCTCTCTTTCTTTCTCTCTCTCTCTCTCTCTCTCTCTCTCTGTAGCTAGTAAACAGTTAGCACTGCTGCTATCACTAACAGTGTACTGACTCTCGGTCTCCGCGCCGCTTTAAGGGGTTTAAATCTCACCTTCGGGGTAATAATGTGCTCCATGCTGTAAGCGAGTCGCGGTGCGGCTGTGTTTTTAAATCTGCTGCTGTTTTTCGACGCTCATTTCTCAGGAAAACCCACTAAAAACAGGAGCGACTCTCCCATCTTCACCCGCACAGTCAACAGCGCGGTCAGCTGACCGCTCAAACCGCGCGAGACTCCGCGAGAGTTCAGTTTCGGCGCGGTGGTTGTTTCAGTTCCTCCTCAGCAGATTCACCCTGAGAAAAGTGCGGATCGGACGAATATTCGAGCTTTACTGCCTGAATATCTGTCAACAAGTAAAAGGAAGACTCTTATAAAATTACACAGATGAAATCCAGTGAACAGTTTCTTGTTACATTTAAAAAAAATATCAATGTCAACTGTTTAATTTCCAATATGGAAAAAAATATATATTCCAAATGCATTTAGCAAATAAAATCTTGCAGTGAATGAAAAAGGCAAAAAAAATGTATTTGTTAAATATATATTTTTAAATATATTTATTTGTTTGCTATTTTATTTTTTATTGTATATAGTTTTAACAAAGCTTACAGATATAACTAAATATATATGAACTAAATGGACAGCATTGACTTAACCATGTACATATGCAGCAAGACACTCACACACAATGTATTTCAGATAAACAAGATATCAGACCATAACTGCGTTTGTTGCATATGTTGCTCCAAAACCTGTATATATATCGTTCAGCATTAATCGTGCCTTCACACCATCATGGATGCTGGCTTTTGAACTGTGCGCTGATAACAAGTGGGGTGGTCCCTCTCCTCTTTAGCCTGGAGGACGGCGTGCCCATGATGTCCAAAAAAGAATCTAATTTTGATTTGTCGGACCACAGGACATTTTTCCACTTTACCTCAGTCCATCTTAAATGAGCTCGGGCCCAGAGAAGGTGGCAGCATTTCTGGATCCTGTTCATGTTTGGTTTCTTCTTTGCATTTTAGAGTTTTAACTTGCATTTGTGGATGCAGCGACAAACTGTTTTCACAGACAGTGTTTTTCAGAAGTGTTTCTGAGCCCATGCGGTGATTTCCACTACAGAATCATGTCTGTTTTTAATGCAGTGGTCGCCAGAGAGCCCAAAGATCACGGCCAGCATATACTGGTTTTTGGCCTTGTCCCTTACATACAGAGATTTCTCCAGATTCTCTGAATCTTTTAATGATATTATGTACCGTAGATGATCAAAAGCAAAGATTCTACATTGAGAAACGTTATTCTTGAATTGTTGCACTATATGATCATGCAGTCTTTCACAGAGTGGTGAACCCCTCCTCATCTTTACTTCTGAAAGACTCCGCCTCTCTGAGATGCTCTTTATACCCAAACATGTTACTGACCTGCTGCCAGTTAACCACCAGGTGTTTTTTTAGCATTACACAACTTTACCAGCCTTTTGTTTCCCCCCGTCCCAACATTTTTGAAACGTGTTGACATCAAATTCATCCATCCATCCATCCATCCATCATCTAAACTGCTTATCCTTCTGGGTCGCAGTGGGGTGCTGGAGCCTATCCCAGCTGTCATTGGGCGGAAGGCAGGATACACCCTGGACAGGTCGCCAGTCCATCGCAGGGCGCATCAAATTCAAAATGGGCAAATATTTAAAAAAAAAACAATTTCTCAGTTTTAACATTTGGTAGGTACTTTGTACCTTTTCAATGAAATATAGGGTTTAAATGATTTGCACATCAGTGCATTCTGAGTTTTTTTGCACAGCGTCCCAACTTTTTTGGGAATGACATCTGAATCACTGAAAATTAGAAATAGAATCAGAAGTACATTTTTTTTGAAGCAACTTTGCATGATTTTTTAAAAGTCAAATCAACTGATTTAATTTTACAGTAAAATTTTCAGACATATACACGTCTTCAGAAACGAACGTCTCTCAGAAATGTGTGGCCCAGAGACCTCAAAGGCAGCTTTTAAAATGAATGACAGCAAACAATATGTAAAAACGCCTCTCTCTCTCGCCGTCTTGCAATAAAATAAGCAAATAAAACTATAAATTCATGCACAGAATCTCTGTATCCAGTCCGTCTTAGTAAGATATCCTAATCTGTTCCCTATCAGTGATCGGCGACTTATGTAGATTTATGTAGGAAAAGTGATCCTGACTGCAAAAAAATGCTTTTGTAAATCTGTACATGATTTAAAAGAAAAAGGTCAGAGATGTTTTCGGCACAGACATAAATCGGACATTGTTTTGGATGCTGGTACGCAGGTCATCCATAATGACCACATGACCAGGTGGTCAAAGCTGTTTTTTAGCAGGGCAAACTAACTGTAAATGACACATTGTCACTGGAACTATTGAAATATCATCGCTGTCCAAAGAAAAACAAGTATCTCCAAAATAGTAAGTTTTCAGTAGAGAACAAAAACACTCTCAGCATTTAATGTAAGTTAATGTAGAGATTTTATTCTAAGCGATTTTAAAGCATTTCTATTGGTCCATTCATCGTGAAATTTTCACACAATGTAAAGGAGAACTAGTGTGTTGAAATGTTGTAGAAAAATAAAAATCGCCAAAAATGATGATGCATGGTTTTCTTTGGACAGCAGCGAAATATTTTCAAAAATCTAAGCAAAGTTTTTTTTTTGTTGTTTTTGTTTTGTTTTGTTTTGTTTTGTTTTATGTTGTTTTTTTTGGGGGGGGGGCGGAGTGGTTAAGAAGTCATTCTTAGATTTTGTCCTACACTCTATTTCACAACAACTTTATACGTAGGATCTCCGTAGACCTTTGTGCAGATATCAATGGCACAAAATAGTCCCCAAAGAAAACGTATTATTTCAGATTTTCCACTATTTTCCCATCATCAACATTCCATATAAACTCAGAAGACTCGTGTAGGTTCACTAGTGGTTCTGGTTAGTAAATAAAGTGTCTATATTTGTGTTGTAGTCATGGCGACCCCTGGTTCCTATCACCACCACTGTAAAGACATCTGAACCATTTCACACCAAACCACTCTGAATCACTCTGTTTACATCTCACACACTGGATTATACAGGAACTTTGACACAACGATGGAGTTGTGCTGTAACCTTGTTATCTCCTTTACTATGTGTTTTCTTTTTTAACTTGGTTCAGGTGATTCTTTGCTTAAACTGTGATCAGAAAAACAATATTTCTTCTTGTAAATTGTGTTCCTTAAATACAGAAAAGGTTATCAGCATTATTTGGAGCTGAAAATGTGTGGAATGTTTACTGTCACTCCCTTCGTGTCTGTGAGGGACCCTGAGGGTCTTCTGGGCCTTCAGATGATGATTTCTGTGAAATAATCAAATACGTGTCTGTCATTTTTAGTTCATTCTTGTTTAATAGACTCGTCATGTTTGCTGTATTTAAGTGCTGTAATACTCTTATTTCACTGTTACGTTTAGGGTGGAAACAAAAGAGTCAAATTCTAAAAAAAATACCCAACAGAAAACCGTCCAATCAGGATTGTTCTCTCTGTGGTGTCTATGTAGATACAGACAAGCTGCTCTCCCATTGGTCAGGACTTCAGGAGCTGGACTGAAGGCCTTACACATTAGATTTATGATCGCCCTTAAAAAAGATGGTGCTTCAAGGGTTCTTTAGTAAAGACAATGGTTCTGTATAGAACTATGAACACTCAAAGAACCTTTTGCTTGGTTAAAGGGTTCTTTGCATCATGAAAGCGTTCTTCAGATTGATGGAGAATGTGCTGTATATGGTTCTATATAGAACCTTTTTTTGCTAAGAGTTCTGTATAGCACCTAAAAGCGTTTTTCTATTGTTGCAATGTCAAGCTTGTAACAAAAGAAGAACCCTACTGGGTGCTACATAGAACCCTTCTCAAAAGAGGTTCTATATAGAACCATCTACAGCACAATTATGCAAGTTTTCCATCAATCTGAAGAACACTTTTATGATAGGGTTCTTCTATTGTTACACGCTTGACATTGTAACAATAGAAGAACCCTTTTGGGCACTACACAGAACCCTTTGCAAAAAAATGTTCTATATAGAACCATCTACAGCACATTCTCCGTCAGTCCGAATAACACTTTCATGATGCAAAGAGCCCTGTAATCATGCAAAAGGTTCTTTGAGTGTTCATGGTTCTATATAGAACCATTTTCGTAACTAAAGAACCCTTGAAGCACCTTTTTAGAAGTGTACCAACATCTTTACGAATCAACCAATCATGCTCGGATTGACAATGGAACCAATTTAGAGAGAAAAACATCACTCTAGGCATGGAAGTTCTAGATATGTCACTGACTGTGAATATGAGCCATAGTCTAAGCAGGTTCCAGGTAGTTGTTAGGAATGTAAAACAGCAGTAGCAGAACTCTTTACTGAGAGAAAACTGATACATACAAGCTCATAACTTCAGATGTCCACATTTAATGTGCAATGTTAATGTAAATCGTGGTTAGCTTAGCGCTGGCATACTATTAAAACTCCATAGGGGCGCTAGCAGAAATTAGCATTATTGTTTTTTTTCCTCATTTCTGACTGATTTTTGACGTTTATGGCCTGAACTGAAGGCCTAGCACTCATAGTCTCGGGAAACCACAGCCATTTGCGCTGTTTTTGCGTGTCTGGATTTGTCTTTAGCCCCTCTCTCTCGACCCTGGGGGGGGCGGGGGGTGTGTGCTGTGCCCCATCAGATTTGCCTAATTGCCTGGGAGGACCCCCTGTCGCTGGAGCCATTGTTACAGTAACGACCTCCTGACCTTTAGGCAGGGCTTTCAGATAACACTCGCTAATGGAGGACGTTAGCGCTGGAGCCGCGCACACACACACACACACACACACACACATATGTATACACGTGCACACACACACACATATACAGACACACATGCGCCCAGAATGGCCTTATTTAGAGCAGGGCGGCACACACATATACACATACACCCATATAAACACACACACACAAACACTAACACACACATATATACACACATATACACATACACCCATATAAACACACACACACATATACGCTCAGAATGGCCTTATTTAGAGCTATGCGGCACACACATTCACACACACTTACACACATACATACACACACACACACACACACACATATACAGACACACATGCGCCCAGAATGGCCTTATTTAGAGCCATGCGGAACACAC